TTTCACCATCAAAGAAACATCATTCCCCATTTTTGTGCAGTCAAAGGAAAGGTATATAATTTTCCTCTCAAAGCAACCTTTACTAAATGCTGATGAGCAATCACACCATTATGTGTCTGCTCTCAACTTAGAAAAGGACTATTGAAGCCTCGAACATCTTTCTTCAAAGAAGAAATGGCAACTGGCTTATATCCACAACTGGTTAACTAGAAGAACGAGTTCCACAGAATCAATTTCCCTGATCTTCTTTAAAACTGCCTTCTAAACGGCCATCAGTTTTCTGAAGAGGTTGCATTAACACATGCATGCCTTACAGTTAATGTGACATTTCCATTAGGCAGTCTTTTCATGAGGCCCCATGCTTCAATTCGTGACATTTTTGTGACGTCAGAGTTGTTTACACTTAGAAGCTCGTCTCCAGCTTGCAGGTTTCCGCTTTTCTCAGCACATCCACCTGAAAACAAGGTATACACACAATTATAAATAACATGTGCCAAACAAATAGAAAGTTTAAAGCAGCTGCAGAGCCAGCAACCAGTATCTTTCACTTAAATACTAACCAGTAAATATTTTTTTGATAGTAAGTGGTCTATCACCAAGTGGAGAATCCTTTCCTCCTTCAAGACTGAAACCGAGGCCTGCTCCATCCTTCTGCAGCATAATGTTTACTGCGGGCCCTCTTGGTACAGCAGCGTCATTGGGATCTGAAATTAGGCAAAAGTATTGCAGAAAATTCATGTGAATTGTTAGAGAAGAATTAATTTAAGCATCCTTACCAATAATGGGTTGCTCTAAAATGCGAGGCGGCCTGGAACTGACTCGAGTATTACTATTTGTAGGCTCTTCATAAGTCCTCACAATTTCACCACGAGAGCGAGATACCACGAGAACAACTTCTGGACGTGGAGCCTACATAGAAAAGAGAAAACATTATTGAATCATGGTATAAGTTTAATTTTTTTTAAATATTTCTGTTGCTTTTCATGGGTTTTAATTTGTACCTTTAGAATTGCCAAAGATTCCCTATGAGTCACTCCCTTCATATTTCTTCCATTGATAGATAGAATTCTGTCTCCTTTCTGCAAACGTCCATCTCTCTCTGCTGGACTACCACTTAAGACTTTGTGAACCTATCAAGAAGGAAAAAATAAGTGAATGACTGGTTTGTCCAATAATATTTCAAACCAAAAACAAAATCAAAGAGTAAATTGACACAAATAGACTCTTACAGTGATTTCCTTTGTCTCATAGTCAGCACCACCAGCCAGGGTGATGCCAACACTTGCACCAGCAGTTTCTCGATGAAGAATAACAACCAGGACCTCATGCGATGAGCCAGGATGAATTGTTCCATTGTTGTTAGCCTCTTCCAAAGTCTGATTTGCATCATCAATCAACTGCTGAAGCTCCTTCAATTTAAGAAAAACAATTTTAAAAATTAAAGAAATGAATCAATATAAAAAATAAATCAATATATCATGACTACATAGAAAAGAGAAAACATGATTGAATCAAGGTATTGCAGTTACAAAATTAGTAGAATGGGTCATATCCTTATCTCACCTGTTGAGATATAAGACTCGTTGTTGATGCAAGTGAAGTGATTGAACCAAATTGTTCCTTGGATAGGTGACCTGGGAATCCATCTTCACTTGTAGTGGAATCAATTGAAGATCCTCTTGCATGGGAAGGAACAAGGGAAACACTACCACCCGTTGAGCTACCAGAACTAGTAGAACCATTCAACCTTTCAGTGACTCCATTCAAACTTGTATTGAAACAAACTTTGCCATTGGGTGGACTTGGAGAAGTAGGTGATAGGGCTAACTCTGCTTTCTCAAATGCCTTTCGTATGTCATTCACGCTGACTGCATGGAGTGCAGTGGGATTTCGAGAAGAATTTCCATTGCGTTCCAAAAATAATGGGTCTGAAGCATTGCGTTTCTTAAGATTACGGAGTCGAGGCGTGCTCTCAGTAGATGAATTCATGCTTCCATTGTCAGTTGTATCACTGCCATTTAAGTGACCATCAATGCTACTTTTCCTTGACAAAGGTTTTGGTAAAATAGGAGGTGGTTGAACAATCTTCCTGCCATCGTCGCACACCTTAATACAAAAAATAAATAAAATCAATTTGATTACAAGTTGAAATTTTGATGAAAATGTTTCTAACAATTATACACAATTTTCAGTGGACCTTACATTGCTGAGCAAAGTCACATTATTTTCAGGTGATGTTTTCTGAGACTTTTCAGTGCATCCACTGGCTTTTGCTGGTGGCGGACTGACTGGGCGAAGGTCTAATTCAATGCCAATATTCTGGGTATCGTTCAAGAAAGCCACCTTCACGTCGGCAGCGGGTAGGTCCCGCAGAGTCGCGGGGCGGTAGTGGACTCGGCCCGCGTGACTCGGCTCCAGCGTGTCATCGGAACTATTGACGCTGTCGTCGCAGCTCAGAGCATCGTTGGACTCGACATCAGTATCGGCCATGCTCACCTAATGGCAAATTTAAGACAGCGACATTATGAAACGTGAAAGGAAAAACAACACAGAGTGGGCGCGGCCAGAGCGCCGTTGAAGCGAATGGGTACACCACATACTATCCCGCCTGCAGGCGTGCGAGCGGGTTGCCTACTCGCTACTCACTACGGGGCCATGGTTAGTGACCATAGGATAGGTAAAAGGAAAACCCATCCGCCCGCCTGCGCACGGTGCTGGTCGGCCACCCTCTCTCTACATGGAACTTCCCCTTGCTTACCATCCTCTCCAGTTCTTTTATCTCCTCCCTCGGGTCTCGACGGAGGATCACCTTCGGAGAGGCGTCCTCGCTGCCAGCCTCCTCGTCGTCCTCGGCATGCTCGCCCTCCCGATGCATGAGGGGCGACCCGGTCCGCAGGTTGCGCCCGCTGCGACAGCGCGCCGAGAACAGCACATTCTTCCGGTTGATGGCGTCCACGCTCTGCGCCTTGAGCACCCTCCTGTTGTTGTCTAAGCTGCTGCCGCTGCCGCTGCTGCTCCTCCGGCCACTTCCGCTGCTGCTGCTGCTCGTGCTGCTCGTACTGCTGCTGCTGCTGCTGCTTGCCTAGAAGCAAATATCAGATTTGTTCGTATTTAATCGTAATCTGGTTTGATGGGGCCAACGCGGCAAGCTCGCTGTCTGGTCGCACCGCGTCGACGCAGCCCAGGAAAGCCAGTTCTTGAGTCAAGAACAAGGACATTGACATGAGGACAATGCAAATTGCACAAGGACAAGAAAATGTTCTTGCGGCCGCAATCACATTTGCATTTGGGCGATGCAATGTACTTGACTCAAGAACAGGCTTTGCCGGGTGTGCCCTTACCTGCGAGGCGGTGCTGGACACGTTGGTGTCAGACGACAGAGTCCTCCGGAGTGCCGGACCCGGGCCCGCGGCGCGGCCATTGGCGTGCAGGCCGACGGGTCCGACGGCCACCGAGGGGAGCAGCGGCGAGGCCGGCGGGGAGAAGCCGTGGGAGATGCTCGACCTGGAGGAGAGGGTCGCGGTTAGAGGACTGGCCATGAGGAACCCTTAAAGTTTTGTCGTGCTCCCCTCACCCCTTACCTGCTGGAGCTGACGGCTGAGTCGTTGTCGCTCTCCTCCTCGGCGGACCTTCCGCTGTCGGACAGGAAAGCGGAGGAAGGTGGCGTCGTCTTGGCGGGGAGGTCCCCGATGAGGAGGTCGTGGCTGGGCTTGGACGGCAGCAGGGGGGTGGCGGACACGCTGCGCACCGTCAGGCTTTTCCTCTTGAAGGCCGGCGAGTACTTGGGGAGGTTGGACGCGCCCTGGCTCTTCCAGGGTGGGCTGCTGAGCACAGGGGTCGTGGCAGGTGCTAGGCTGGTCGGGCTGTAGTATGCGGCGGCCACGTCGTGGTGGTAGCGCTGCTGCTGCTGCTGCTGCGAGCTGGCGATCAGCAGGGCGTCCTTGCTCCTGATTTCGGGGAGGTCGACGACGGGCGTGCCCTGGTCCGGCACCTTGTCCGGGATCACCAGCCCGCGCAGCTTGGAGATGCTGCGCCGCCGCTGCTCCACCAGGGCGATGAGGGACGCTCGCCGCGCCTCGTCCACGTTGGACCCGTTGTTGTTGTTGTTGTGAGTCGGCGCAGTGGTGGGGGCCGACCGCGGGTGGCCGCTGAAGCTAGTGGCGCGCGTCACGACGGGGCCGCTCTTCCTCGGCAGCGTGCTGGAGCTGGACTCGAAGGGCGACGCGTTGAGCGTCGGCGACAGCGACGTCTCCGGCGAGCAGAAGGACGAGTACGCCGACGACGAGGACGAGGCGGACGACAGGGGCGGCGTGTCAGGCGACGATGGCTTGCCCACGCGGTCCACGGAGACGACGGAGCGCGAGCGCACCTTGGCGTCCGGAACGGCCGCGTCCACCACGTCGCTGCCCAGGATGCTGAACACGTCCTCGGTGCTCTTGAACTTGTTGGAGAGGCGGCGCGTCAGGCTCGTCGGCGCGGGCGGCGCGGGCGCCACCGAGGCCGCCGTCGTGAACATGGCGATCTTGTCGCGGACGCTACGCTCTGACCGCTCGTCCTTGCGCCAGCCGCGGCCGTTCTCTGCGGGCGGAGGGTTTGTCAGCGGCAACGGCGGAGCAGGCGAGGCCGCCGCCTTGCCCTCGTGCGCTGCAACAACGAGAAGACCGTGTTAGTGTTGCCGGCCTAACAGGGAGTTGTTACTTCACTCGAAAAACCAACAACAAGTGTACACCCTAAAATATAGAGAAAAAACTTCATACGAAATGGAAATAAAGCTCAGAAAAATGAAGGAAAATGAAGAAAAAATTAGGAAAATTACGAAAAAATAAATTCAAAAAATCAAGGAAAATTGAGAATAAACAAAAAAAATTGGTGTACGCTTCGGCTCGATTTTATGGTCAAGTGCCCCTCGCCAGACAACGTTATGCGGACGGACCCGGACCGTAGACTCACCAGCTGGGTGCGCGCCGAGGCCGTGTGGTCCCTGGTCGTGGTAGCGTGGCGGGAACTCATCGCCGTCGGGGGGCTGCCGGGACGCGCTGGGTGGGACCGGCCCTGCAACACCAACAAGAGAGCCTCGTCGCATAAAACAAAACAAAACCAAACCAAACCGCCAGCCCGGCCGCCCCGGCCATTTGCTGTTGCTGTTATGTCGCCCTCTACTCATTTTATTTTCTTTCCCGACAGTGTCGCCCGCAATGCAAGTAAGTCCCACCCCGCCGAGCCGCCTGCTGGCCGCCTTATAAGTCGCGCTGGCGCGCTGGCGCGGCAGGCGCTGCTGCTCGCGCTTAGAGAGGGGTCAGTCCGGGGCGGAGCAGGCGGAGAGAGGTAGCAGCTAGGGGGATAGAGAGAGGGGCAGGCTAGGGAGAGCGAATGACACCTGGGCCTGGCTCGAGTGCGCACCATTACGCCCGCCACCCGCGCCTTATGCACTGATGAAAGTTTTTTTGGTCGGTTTTCATTTTCTTCCGCCGGGATGGCGCTGAATAAGTAAGATGCTTACCC